CACCCCAATCAACGGAACAATACGATGTTCCACATGTGGCAAGAGTCTTTGGTAATAAGGTTTTTTTGAATTGGCATGTAGTTATTATTATTATTTTTTTTGTGAATCTGTCAACAGCCTGAAGGATATCCAAGTAGTTCATGCAATTTTTTCTGGGTGGAATCCTCTTCAGAGTTTATAGAATAGACCCCGAGTAGTTTTTAGGCACAATATCAATCTCAGTATCCAATGACCCTAAAGTTTGCAGGAAAAAATCTTCAGCAAAACATATCTAATGAGGAAATTGAGCAATTGGAAAATTTCAAATTTCATGTTGTCGGGTATGACGAAATCCAATCGTGATGGTAACTGGATATGTAAATCTATAAATTAGGGGTTGATTTTATTAACAATTTAACTATGGAAAACTATTAATACGATATATCTCACCTCAGAATTAATCTATTTGAAAAAAAAACATGGTCACGATTTTCATTTTACGAAATTTCTACGTAATTTTCACCAGATGGATCGCAAACTTGCCAAGAAAGAAAAATCAATTTGCAGATTCCCTGAAAGTATTACAGAAAGTCAAATGATAAAAACTATCTGAAAATGAATGTCATTCCAACGATCTGCTTGACATTATTTTGAATGTGTTTCAAGCAAAAGGTAATCATCCCCATATGCAACAGTTCGTAGCACCATTCAAAATTTATCTGGAATGTCAAGAGCAAATCGATTTTCGGAAAGATAATTCGGAGTTGATGTTAAATTTCGGTGCAACAGGTACAATCGTCAGGGAACCATACCCCGACTCTAAGAGGATATACTATTATTCAGGATTTGTGAATATGAAGAACTAACTCTTGTCATTCCTCAAATATGTTACGAACAATCACACCACACCTTCGATCAGAGACTTATCAGAGGCAAAATATATGAGAGTTTGTTGGGAAGCGAACAAACTCTCATGGCCTCCTTGCAAAGCATTCGTCACTGATTGGTTCTGGGCTAGCGTAACTGGGGTAATGGGAGCTTGGAATGATCTGACGGTATTGGAATACTTGGAACTGGTCTACAATGAGATTCAGAATAACATCCCTTTATCCTCTCACGCAATTCGGTATTTCATGTGCTATGCTGACTTTATGAAAATGATTTCAAGATGGTCACATAAGAAACAGATTGATGATGCAAGGATCAAGAGGTTTTTGGAGGCCATAGCTGTTATTTCCCACTGTTCTGGTATGGAGTCAATGAGTATTGGTCACCTATTGAAACTGATTATGTGATTGCAGCATTCGGAGAAATTGAGAATGTGAGGGCATCTTTGGACTCGCAGATTGATAAGATTCCTACGTTTGCAAAGCTAGAGGTTGAAGATAATACTGATACTAAAAATAAAGTCACATCAATGTATGGAAAAAGCCCATGGTTCACTCATTTCAACAGGATTCGTGGTAGAGTCAAGGAAACTATTGGGAAACATCATCAAAGAAACAAGAAGAATCAGTATCAGTCGTTGGAATTCTCAGATTATTTGATGAAGGAGCTCCTTCCATACGCCCCTCTGTGATCAACCGTAGTCACTCTATAGCACAAGCACGTAGTTAATGCATCTGCTGAGAATCATTTCAAAATCACAAAATTGAAGAAGAATTCAGGCATGAAGGCCTCGAGATTCGTTGGATCTAAACTGTCTGTGTTAAACGTCCTCAGAAACAAGAGAATGGACCTCCAAAGGTCTGGGTCAAACGTGCCCACAAACGAGGGTTTGAAAGTGTAGGCCGTTTGCAAAGGAAAAACTAAGACGTACTTATACAGACGCAAAGAGATTTCAGAAAATTGTAAAAGAGCAGGGACAGAAAGTTCTGAAATTCTACAAGAATCACACGATTTCGAATCCACAATATTATCATTATCCTAACCCACCATGCCGTTTTTTTGTGGCCTCGATACGAGTTGGGAATAATGCTACATCTAATGCGACCATCCTTTCTGATGATTACATTACTGTACTCGACAAAAGGTAGTTTATGAACTCCATCATTGATTACTGGGCACAGGTATTAATGAGTTAGTTTCAGCGAAACAATGAATTTGTATATGTGCCCTCTGGGTTGAGTAAATATCTCGTTTCGTTTTTGGGATGAATGGCATCAACCAACAGCAATCATTGGTTTTGGTGTACGCTGATGTTACGAATTTGTTTTTAAGGCCATCGAGTCTCTTTTCGGGTCCCATTCGGCACTCTATCCAACCCTGTAAATGCGGCTGTGGATTCTACACTGTATCGTATTCGCGCTCCTATAGAACATAGGAGTAGCATAGGAAATCACAAGAACCGATGCCGGTATAGGCGGTTACTCTATTAGCAACCTTCCCCGCTCGTTGGAGCCACTCGCTGCAAAATTTGGTTCCGCTTGGGATCGAACTCGCCACCTTTCGCACAATAGACTTGCGTCTAGCCATTCAGCCACCGACCTCGGTGATGTTATGAATTATATCGTCTATTTGATTAAAGATCCATCAGGCGGCGGTAAGATAAAGAGAGTGGAGAGAAAAAGATTAAATACTTTCATCTCTGGTTACCGAAAGGTGAGACCAACTTAAGTTATTGGCAATGACTCGTGTGAGTTGGAAAAACACAAATTGATTAATTACTCATTTACAGGTTTTCCCTACATCATTGACTGGACTCTGGAAATCCCACCTCATCAAAGACAGAATGATGGGTTCAACCGCGGATCCTCGCGGGCAATCTTTTGTGGATGACTCCGCTCGATACTTTGTGAAAAATATTGCATATATCATAAATGAAACCTTTATAACAGGAAATAAGAAACATCACGAGAAGATTTCCATTTTTTTTCAAATGTGATTCTGTTTCTTTTCTTAATCGGACGATTTAGATGAATAATGGAGCTTGAAAAGGATTTAGTGTTTCACAGCGGATTTAATGTTAACCAATAGGACTAGGAAAAGAAGGAACAAAATCACGTAGAAATTTCATAGAATGAAAATCGTGACCATTTTTTTTTTTAATATAGATTAATTCCGAGGCGACATACGCCGTGTCAATGGTTTTCCATAGTTGAATTATTAATAAAACCACCCCTTAATTGATCTAATTACATATTCAGCCGCCATCACGATTGGATTTCGTCTCGCCCGATGGAGTAAAATTTGAAATTTTCCAATTGCTCAATTTCCTTATCAGATATGCTCTTTTTTTGCAAACTTCAGGGTCATAGTTTCGAGAAAAGGATTTTTGAAAAAATGAAATTTAACACATCGTGTCCATAAGAGCTGTATACTCTCACCATCAATCCTGTAGACATAACCGTATATGACCTTGTTCATTAAATTCTTTAGTTTTTTTGCGACATTAAAAAAAATAAGTTTTCGGATAGATAATTACAACCAATCGAAGTAGAAGCTTCTTAATTGCTCCGTCGGCCATATTGACTGGTTTGAATTCGCGCGTTTCTGACGTCTGGCAACAGTTCGCAATTACTCGAGCTTATATGGAACACATGTGCAGTGTTGGCGTATGATCATTAGAAATTAGACCGACAAAAGTCAAATGTAAAATTGAATAACAGTATATTACGCAACAAGTGCGGGAAGCAAGCGGTTACGCACGAGGGCGGCGCAGTCGCTTGCTGCCCGCACGAGTTGCGTATACTATTTTATACCATAAGTGCGTGCGCGGCGAAAAGGGGCCGGGGGGGGGGNGGTTATGTGGATACTAACAAGAGAGGCAGTGGGCGATGTTATGAGTCGATGCGCGAGTCGATGCGCAATGGATGTGTGGAATCCAACGATG